ACAACAAGTATGCTCCTGCTTTTGAACTTCTGTTTCAGTTTGGGCTATAAATCAAATAGAGCCGAGAAAGATTTCACAGTTATGCTCACTACCATACTCCAACAGTGATTTACATTTTTTTCGGATGATGTTTTAGGCTATGATAGAATTTTGTTCTTCAGGGGCAAATTGTGAACCTGAAGAAGAAAGGTCCACCTTTCGAAAGCGCTCGGGTTATAGGGTTTTTTATTCATTTCTATCAAGACGTTTTGAACCTACGTGTTTTTCTAACATCTTAGAATTTTGTTGAAATGTGGATTTTTTTTTTTCTCCCCAGAAAGGTAATTTTAATTATTTCAGGAATATTTCCTTGTAGAATTGTTTTTTAAATACTTTTAACCAACATACTGTATTAGATATGTTGGCATGACAGCAAAACGTATACAATATAAACATAGAAGTCTTATTGTTTATTAGGCACATCTTAATTTCTCTCTCTCTCTCTTCGTTGCTGTTTTTTCTTGAGTCATCATTTACTTCTGCTGTTTTTCTCTATTAATAATTGTAAGATTATCTGTATTTTACACCACTTTTTTATTATATCATAAATGTTTACGTTCCCTTTTGTTCTTTTTATTGACTTAAATTTTCTAGTTTACGTTACGTTTTATTTATTACCTCTTATCTTGTCGTGCTGTTTTTAGATGTCCTTTATGTTTTTGTTCTGTACAAATTTATCATTGCTCAGATGGGTTTTGGTGTGCAGGATATTGTATTAAAGATTTTTTAAGGAGGGCATATTTACTGAATTTTAATATTTTGAGGTAAATGACAATCTTTTATTTTCGAAATTATTGCATATTTCTTAGAATTAGGTTGTAATGAAGGATTATTTTTGACATTTTTTGACTTTATCATCTTTGATAAAACAATTTTTATATAGGCTTATTATTTAATGTTTTATTTGGAGTTAGTTGTCTCAGTTTAAAAAAAGACATTTAATAAGTTTATAGTTAGTTGTCTCAATTTAAAAGGGACATTTAATAAGTTCAGAAATATCTCAGTTTAAAAGGGACATTTAATAAGTTCAGAGTTAGTTGTCTCAATTTAAAAGGGACATTTAATAAGTTTATAGTTAGTTGTCTCAGTTTATTGTGCTTACTGGAAGCTTGCCTACAAAGTTAAATGTGCTTACACAATTCATTATGAAAAAAAAATCATTGACACACTTCATTGCTCTCTACTTATTAAAATTTATTTCAGCAACAAAAAAATTACTTTGCTCAATGTAAGAAATATACGTTTAAGACACACTACAGTTATATTTACCAATAAAAGTTTGAAGAAATGATAAGCGTGTTCTTTATTTTTCTGCTCTTCTATAATCATAGTTTTTTTCATCTTCCCGTTGGAAAAAAAAAGTATCAGACTGTGAATGTTTGTTTTATTTCCCGCAGCCCTCACTACTTTAAGGACATTAAGATATCAGCCCTAGCTTTGTTGAAAATGGTGATGCATGCCAGGTCAGGTAGCAACTTGGAAGTGATGGGTTTGTTACTCGGGAAAGTGGATGCCAATACGATGATTGTTATGGATTCTTTTGCCCTGCCGGTTGAAGGGACGGAAACCAGAGTCAATGCCCAGGCTCAGGCGTACGAATACATGGCAGCTTATACAGAAACTGCAAAACAAGTACGTTTTAGACATTTTAGTGTTGGTTGGTGTAACTCTCGACTACCACATGTGTAACTATGGGCATTAAATAAATATATATATAAATATATCATGAAAAAAATATATTTATAACTGAAAGTGTTTTAATTTCATGTTATGACATTGAAGAGCATTTTATATAAAGGTAAGGTCTTTTTTGAGAAGATACGAATGCCAAACATAACTTAAATATTACTGTTTGAGAGTATTATAATATTACAGTATATACTGTTAAAATGAATATTAACGGAAGAGCTTCCTGTTCTTTTTATAAACACAATCTAAGGCCTAATGTGTACACGTTATGAGTGTATAGGAAATCGCAAGGTTTTACGTATGAATAGAAAATTCATCCCTAAATGATACCCAAGTCCACACACCCTCCTAATTTCACCCTGATTATTCATAATATAAAGCACTGTAATGGAAAGGGTATCTCCCTATAAAAATGTTCTTTTTTTTTTAGTTATAATATAGAAAGCTTTGATGAGATGCATTTAAGTTTGTTATTGAGCTGCCGCTAAACAAGTCGGTGAACTCGTACCATGGCAACGAGTCAGTGAACTCAATGTACCACGGCAACGAGTTGGTGAACTCAATGTACCACGGCAATGAGTCGGTGAACTCAATGTACCACGACAATGAGTCGGTGAACTCAATGTACCACGGCAACAAGTCGGTGAACTCAATGTACCACGGCAACGAGTCGGTGAACTCAATGTACCACGGCAACGAGTCGGTGAACTCAATGTACCACGGCAACGAGTCGGTGAACTCAATGTACCACAACAACAAATATTGAACATTGGAGGATAAAAATTACCTTTTATATCGGTCTTAGTTTCATGCTGTTGATAAATAAAGACATTTCGTCTCCTTTGATGATATCAATGAATGTACTAATTAAGTTATACTACCAGCATGACCTGATGAGTAGCGTTTCTGACTGGAGATCCAAGGGTCTTGAGATGTGGTGCTACAAAACACGCTTCACAATTTTTGTTGTGTTAAAATTGACAGTGTTCAGTTAAGAATAGTTGTTTCATGTCACAAATGGTCCTGATTGGTTCTTCCTTAAGATCACCAGTTGGAAATGAAGTAAGGTTCTATTTGAACTGTAGGGGTCTCTTGTTTACCCCACTAGGTGTTGCCCGGTTAAACAAAGGAGGTTCCTACATTGGTATATAGGAGACTGCTATTACTCCTAAAGGAACACAGACTTTAGTCTAGATATATTGGAACTCTGTTTTGTTTTTCACAACCAAAAAAAAAAACTTTTTTTAAATACAGTTTTTATAGATTGAAAAGATACCTTCGTGTTGATTGTATTGAATATTAATATATATATATTGTTTTTTAGTTATATTAACTCCTTGGATGCTATAATTGGATTTATCCGACGTCACATTTATAGCCGTTTGGTGCGACAAGTGGATTTACCACACGGTGTTGCAAAAATGTTTCCTCGTAGTGCGACAATCAGGATACTCGCACGTACTTGAATTTCCCACCTTAGTACATCACCGAGCAAAAGCACAACTAGTGGATTTTCATATTGAAAAAGGCCAACTTCTAAATTTCATCGTTTAGTGGATAATTGACACTTTTAGAGAACTCACCTGAAACTTAATTACACACTGTTATTTTATAGTGATATTTTTTTATTTTCCTATTTATTGTGCATGATGAACTTACTTGTTTAAAACCAATTGTTGTCAGTCATATCACTTGCATAAAAGTATTAACTATGTGACTGAGAAAAAAAAAGTCTGCAAAAGGTGT